TTCTTATTTTCTCGATATAATCCAGATAGAACTTCAATGAATATTCTATCTTTCCAAACCCTGGAATGGCTTGTATTGATTCATCTGCCATGAATGGTACTTTGTGGCTGCCAGCACAAAGGATTGCTTAATGACAACGAAAAAAAAGTACAGCACTATTTAAGGTGACTCGACCCAGTTTTTTTTGGGCAGTACCATCCTACTTTGAAGCTCTCTGGTATCCCCACCTTTACTTTTATCGTAAGTCTAACACATAGAATGGATAACATATAGATCAATCTACAATATAACATAAAATTTTTGGCGATCGGAGTAAATGTCATGTGGTTATAATGCCACGCCCCTTTGAGGTCTGGGTCGAAAATCTACTGTTGCCAGCATTTTTTCGTGAATTCTCTCGGCTACATATATTGCGCATTAGTGCCTTGCGCTGAACAGAGTTTCACCAAAATCGCAAAGACCCAGTTCAAGAAATTCAGCAGTTTCCAAATTTAGGTCACAATTTATGCGAAAATGATAAGCAAACTTTACATGATTATATCTAATAAACTATGAGACTTATCCCTTTATTTTGGAGATCGTTATAACAGATGGGTCCTTGCAAGTCAGCAAAAAGCTTTAGGGCCTTGTAAATGCGCGCGATTTCAAGCAAAGCAAACATATAGAAATTATAGTTTTAGCTATTTGTTGACGTTTGTCAGCGTTTAAGAGTCCTTCTCACGAAAAAGGGATTTTCTTAAAAATTCGTAGTTTTTTTTCCTTCAAATTTTTTCAGGGCCACAATTGATTAACCAACTACACGGATTCTGAATTTCATGGTCATTGAAAAACTGTGACAAATAAATAGCGTTTTGGCTGAGTTTGTGCTTTGGGAGTTGTCTATTGTTTCTAGTCTGTCATGACACAGCATTCTTGTTCAGCACGCGTGCAATGACCGCACTTGGCTGACTTCTGAATGCTCACCAAGATATGATAATTTGGGTACACTGAGACAGGCCATCGCATTATACATAAAGGTTTCACTCACAATTTTTAATCAATTCTCGTTCTTCTTGTGCCTTTGCAAAAAAATCAAGAAGAGCTACACACTAAATCTACTAACTATTAAAAAAATATAATTTTTTCATAGGTTTAATGTAAGCCAATAATTAAACCAACTCGTGATGGGAATCCCTTCTATTTTCTCATACTAAATTATCATATCCCAGTGAGCATTCGGAAGTCAGCCAAGCGTTGTCATTGCACGCGTGCTGAACAAGAATGCTGTATCACGACAGACTAGAAACAACAGGACAACTCCCAAAGCACAAACTCAGCCAAAACGTTAAAAATCTTCAATGTTTACTCAAGTTTGGGCTTATAGAGGATAGTGTCACAGTTTTTCAATGACCATGAAATTCAGAGTCCGGGTAGTTAGTTAATCAATTGTGGCCCTGAAAAAATTTGAAGGAAAAAAAACTACGAATTTTTAAGAAAATGCTTTTCTTGTGAGAAGGACTCTTTTAAAAATGACAACAAACGTCAACAAATAGCGAAAACTATAATTTCTATATGTTTGCTTTGCTCGAAATCGCGTGCATTTGCAAGGCCCTAAAGCGTTTTGCTGACTTGCAAGGACCCATCTGTTATAACGATCCCCAAAATAAAGGGAAGAATCTCATAGTTTATTAGATATAATCGTGTAAAGTTTGATTATCATTTTTGCATAAATTATGACCTAAATTTGGAAACCGCTGAATTTCTCGAATTGGGTCTTTGTGATTTTGGTGAAACTCTGTTCAGCACAAGGCACTAATGCGCACTATGTGTAGCCGAGAGATTTTCACGAAAAAATGCCTTCAACAGCAGATTTTCGACTCAAACCTCAAAGGGGCGTGGCATTATAACCACGTGACATTTACTCCGATTGCCAAAAATTTTATGTTATATTGTAGATTGATCTATATGTTATCCAATCTATGTGTTAGACTTACGATAAAAGTAAAGGTGGGGATACCAGAGAGCTTCAAAGTAGGATGGTACCCCCCCCCCAAAAAAAAAAAACTGGGTTGAGTCACCTTAAAATAAGAATCTCATGAGGGCCAAAAGTGAATAAATATTCCTAAACTTCTAACTCTAACTTCTAACCATACATGTACTACCTCATGATTGCTTAAATATTATACACTTGCTGGAGGTTTGATATAAAACATCTAGCGCTCAAAATAACAGCCAGTCATCAGACAATGTCTCGCCAAAATGACCATTTGTCCGGGACAAACTTTCAATAATTGGCTAGTCATTCTTACTGATCAGCAAGAAAATTTACTTGTCCCAGATGACCAGAGGGGCCTTTCTTGAGCCCTTGTCATGAGCACATTTTTCAAATAACTGTTTAATACCTGAAGCTGTTGCTGGTCCCACTGCTTTCAGCTTTGTCAATTCATTGATTGCCTGTTTAATGTCAGGTAAACACTTGAAGGCTTTACTTGTGACCTCTTTGACTGTTTCACTGTCATTAGTCTGCACAAGCTGAGTAAGACGAGGTCTGAACTTTCCACGCTGAGAAAGTTAATGAACAGTGAGAGAAAAAGCTTAAACTTTTATTTGAATCATTTTTGTAGCTTAAATAATGGACCTCTAGTATATTATTATTATATGGCACCCTCCATACCCAAAAACGATAAAAAAATAAAATTAAGACCACGAATTAAACCAACCCATACTTCAGTGAGATTTACTAACCCAGAGATATAACTGAGTTAAAATTGCAAGTGCACATGTTACAGCTCAAAATTAAATTAATTCTCTATTTCCTTTTTCTCCTAGCCCTAATTATTCCTGAATTTGGGCTAGGAGACAAAGGATATTGAGAATCAAACTAGGTTAAAAATTCTAACATAAATATAATTTTGACCTATAACACGTACATTTATAAGCAGGTGTGGGTGTTAGGTTTAGGGTTGGCATTCAAGAAAAAGGAAACCTAGTACACCTGCAAATTAAAAAAAGTCACCTACAACCTAGAGAAATACCCTAGTGTTTTCTTTCAACTTACCATCAGCTTCCATTCCATGAGTTTGATCAGTTCCTCCTGTGTCAGAAATTTCTCTGATCTCTTATTTATTTCTTGAGGCAACTGATTCTGAAACCTTTCAATAGTTACACTTAGTAGATATTTAACACTAAATAACAGTCATTGCCATGCTTTACAACCCCAAAACAAAGAATGAAGATCAAGAATACTCATTAGATTTAGACATTTGAAACTTACCGGTGCATGGTGCATTTAAATCAGCAACAGTACATGAAGGGAGTGCAAAATATTCATATTGGTAAGATATGATTCAGTCTGACAGGTTTTAAGAAATGCAACTTGCCTTTAAGAGGGGAATGATAATTATTTATACCATAATTATTACATATAGGTGGACATTATGGGTGGACCTATGATTGAGTGAAGAGTGTTTGGCTTCTTTGGTAATTGGTTGATTTTTTGCTTGGACAGGTGCATTCTTGCAGTATAAAATTATCAAAATGATATAATCACCGTCAAACAGTAAACTGACCTCTCGTTTTCATAAGTATGGACAAATTCCACAATAACATAAAGAACAAACTTGAAAATTATGGATTGAAAAATAAAAGGATTCTTTTAAAATGCCAAAAGTGGGAACTTACTGATATCAATAAGTGCTGCCGATATCGAAGTCCTTTACATATTTATTATTCATTGATATTTTATTTTCTTTTGATTTACTGATTGAGTTTATATTTGTTTTGACGGGATTTAGTTGCCTTCCTTTTATTCCATAACCATTACTCATACCCTCCCCAGTGCTTTATTTTCTTTTCTTAGGCCTCTAATCTCACCCCCCCTCCCCACCCCTTACCACTATGTCACTGTTAGCAGGGTCACAAATGTGTGAATCTGTTTTAAAGAAAAAAATGACAAAAGCAGTAGAGAAATAATCATTATCACCATAATGAAATGATCGAGAGGAATTTTCTTCTTTTGTTTCCCAAGCTAAGAAGGATGAAATAGTGAAATATTTTAGAATTCTTTTTTCTATCACATGCCAAAGCAGACAAAAATACTTCCTCTAAATATATAAAACTTTTCCAAAATATATGACACTTGTTCTGTATATATATCAAACTTGGCTTGAATAATTGTTCCTTATTTTGAAACTTACTTCCAATAATACTACTTAAGACAAATATTCAAAACTTGCTTTCAATATTCGGTTTGACTACTCAGATAGGAAAATCATCTGCTGAATAATTAAGACTTGCATCGGCTTGTTAGTTTTGGCCATTTGCACTCTGCCAGACAGATATACACCCATTACAATAAAGTTTGCTTTGGGATTTGGTCAAAGTCGGCACTTTTCGCTTCTAGAAGGCTGTAACATATAGCCTAGTAGTAGCTCAACCAATCAGAACGCAGCATTGATAACAGGCCACTAGTTGGATTTTACTAAAAGAGGATAGGGGTGATTCAGGGTCCCATGTTATTGATGTTCTTGCGGGGAGAGGCATGAGTAATGGTATGCCTGCCAACTTTTTCTGAGATATAAGCGTGAGATTTTTATCCTGGGAGTGCTGGGATTATTGAAGACGACACGATCATTTCCGAAGATTCCCGAAGAAGTCCGAAGTCTTCCGAAGACGTCCGAAGTCTGCCAAAGGCGAGCTCGCTCCCAGTGCTTTTCACTTCAAAAATCAGAGATCGCGAGGAAGGTATTGCCATTTTTTTCATTTTACACAAGGTTTTCGTTCCTTACATGGGTCTGAGTTAACATATTTTTGGAAATTGTGTCAAGCAGGACGGCAACAACTCACATTTTTCAATCAGGCGTGAGAAATTGGCCCGCAGGCGTGAGCCGGCGTGAGATCGAAGTTTTCAACCCGCAGGCGTGAGACTCACGCCTAAGGCGTGAGAGTTGGCAGGTATATAATGGTTACGGGATTAATTCCGCTAGATAGTTTCCCCGTCACCCAAAACGTACCATTTACCT